AAACTTTTAGTACACAGTAGTTCCGCAATCAGTACGGTTGTCGTCACTTTAAACTTAACAACTTTTATAATACACTCTATAAATCACGGCGATTCACAATCTCGATAACTTCGCTCTCGACGAGTGCAAAACATACACTTTACGGCTCACTAGCTCGAAACTAACAGAATCATAAATTACATGGAACTCAAAGTAACTACTGCTCTCTCTTCATTTATGCACCCCCACCCCCCTGCTGGCTTTCTTCTTCCAGGCTTATATACTAACGAAGTGGTCATCTCCAACACACTCGGACTTCCCCGATCATTTGAGAAACCCATCACGCACGCCAACGCGCCAGCAGTGTCGCGTGACTTCCGCTGTCGTAACAATATACTGTACTAGATCTAAAGACAATAAATTTTGCAATATTACTTTCTTAAAGATTCCCTTTTCATCCTTTTTCCGAGTTATAACCAAATGGTCATGTTCTCCTCCCCTTCCTTTATCTACTACTATATCATTTTGGATCTGAGCCTCTTCCTTCTAAATGGTCTCTGCAAGGTCTTATAATTAAAGGCTTGAAGTGTAAGGAAAAACTTAGCTACAACCCTCCAATTTTTATTGCAACTTAACTCATGTACATAAGTAATATTTTATTGTAAAGAAAAAAATAAGACTTCCTCATGACACTGTACATTTATCATCTTGGTGAAACAAAATTTTCTGGATGAAATGCTAACATTATCTTTCTTAGAACAGTAGCTCTCAAGATCGTTCTGCCAGTAAGACCAAATGTCATTCCACATAGTGGGATTCACCTTCAAATGTCGACATAATAAAGTCAGGTTACTTCATTATGTAAAACATTTTATTTTGCATGAAAATCATAAATTACCAGTATAGTAAAAGTCATGTGCAAATTAAAGCATGAAAATAGTGTTTACATTTGATCTGATATATTTAACTGATGTTGACTTCAGAAAAATATCACAAGTTATGAAATTACAAATTGTATAAACTTTCATGTGCAAATAAAGTTTTAAGTTTTAAATAGGTCAACTTTATAGGTATATACTTAAATAATTAAAAACAAATAAAACGTTTAACTTTTCGTTACCATTCGAAGGATCATGACTTTTCTTGGCAACTCTAGTCTTTTCCAGGTGCCCTCTATTTTAATATATAAGCCCGGCAAATAAAGCGGAGATAATTGCAGATAGACAGATATAGAAACAGATAATTGAGTCAAGCGAGCGGTAGTGACCGTGAGTAAAGTGCGTGAATCGTTGTGAATTATAGCGTATGTTGAAGTTAAAGTGATTGTGGAAATTAAGTGTATTGCAAAGTTGTATTGAGAAAGAATAAACTAGTTTTATCTAAGAAAGGACTTGTATCGCTGAAGTTCCTCGGGAAGAATTTATACCTGAAATTAACAAACGACCAGAGATGTAACAATACTATAATATATGTCCGATATTTGCTGTAAGTACCTATGCGTCTTACTCTACCATGTACATATCTAAATTTTCATGACCAGTACATTTTTCCCCTCATAGAATCTTGAATACAGTTCATAATGGTCCTTTTTTTTTAACTTATATAAATTTACAATTGTGCAATCATCTTAGTCTACCAGCATATATAATAGTAAATCAAAAGATTAAAATATAAGTCCAATTTTACTTCAATAACTTATTTTTTTTTTAGGAAAACGGGCATGTGGGTAATGTATGCCACAGAGTAATTTCACAAATCTTACAAAGATGATTAAGTAGAAAAATACCAAGGACGTAGGCCTGACTTTTCCAACTGAATACAGTACACTACAGTGAAATAGTTTCAAGAGCACTGCAGGAGTATATTTACGTGCAGCACAATCAACAATATTCATCATTAAATGTACAATTCATAATTATATGCTAGCCAAATTCTGTTATTTCATGTGAGAATCATTTCTGCAGTACTTTGTTTTCATGTAAACATGCAAATACACAATCGGCAATATGTAAAACATTTATACATCTAATACACTTAAAGGATATTTAACACGCCCATTACAATTAAATGTAACAAAGTAGAAATGTGTGTACATATGTACTGTAATAAAACTATGCTCACTCTGTTATAAGCACTCTTCTATATATATCACAGTTACATTTCACGTGTTTTTTAGTTTTGTTGTTCAAGCAGCATAAAATATTTTGGACCACTTGTACTGCATACTGATTATTTATCATAATGACACTAACAGCTTAAGGATTTTGTACTGCAAAATTCTAGTATCTCATGTAATTCTGAGAATGATTCTATTGACAGTATTAGGCCTATGTTTCAATTGTTTCCCTGATGTCTTAAGCCATACAAAATAACCCAAATTTCCTATCTCATCCATTAAACGAACTGGTATATTTAATAATCGTCTACCTCTACACTCAGTGATAGCATCAAAAATGAATGTACACAGAACTTGTATCTGTCTTCGACTTTTGCTTACGGTATGTGTAACAGTTAATAGCATAGCACGGTGTTCATTTTGTTCTTTTGGGTCGTGATTTAGACGAACGACTGTCACTCTCAGTCATTTTACATTGTTTGCCAGTTCGAACTTCAACACATACCAATGACGGGCGCATATAAAGAGTAGTGACTGGCCAATCTAATGTTATTTATAACTATGGAAACATTAAACAGATTCACAATTAAAATCATTTTTAATTCAGGCCAATCTATGGCCTTCAAAAAGATGACTCTGCATGTTTCAACGTTTCCTGATAATGAAGTAGTCAACTTTTTGAGAACATATATTGGCCTAAATTTAAAACGTTTTTAAATGTGTATCTATTTTTACGTTGTATACTGGAACTTTACAAATCATTTAGTTTTGCACCGCATATTATTAATAACAGCCATTGTAAGGAGATGTGTGTTATTCCTATAAAAAAATTGACTGTTCAAGACTATGAATGAAAGTAAACTTATATTTAACCTGTGGGCGTGAGCGCAAAAACGGTCGTTAGGTGACTCAAAACGCAATGATGAGTTCATGCTTGTATGTTTGTTTTAGCACAAAGCTACACAGCAAGCTATCTGCACTCAGTCCATCATGGGAAATCGAATCGTCGGGCTTTGGATTTTAGCGTTTTAAATCCGTAATCTTACGGCTGACTCACTGGGAGGCAAAAATGATGATTCTTTTTTATGCTGTTACTGAACAAACATAATGTCTTTAAATGTCATATTTCGCTAGTAACAATACTGGTATATTGTCTATGAACGTTTTGGTGTCTTTGCTTTGGTTTACAATATTTTCTTACATTGGACTACAAAGAATACTGGCACAGTACGTATGAAAGTAGTCGTATATTTGGATATTATTATCACTCGTAAAATTTCCATATACTTTTCACCTCTAGCTCATTTTCTCACCTGCAGATTGCGCTGTATGGGCCAAGTCGTGGAAAATAAACTCTCCAAAGATCGTCATCAATGTGGTTAGGTGAGGATGGGGATTATCAGCATCGCTGTGGATCATCAGACTTATTTCACGCGCACTGGGAAGGAATTCATTCCTTACCGACTGACGAGGAACATTGACACCTGGTTGATAAAACATTAAGAGAGAAGTTAAGTAACCTTGAAACAGTACTTAAAAAAATACGTAATCAAAACGTTCTTTCTGAAATCAGCATATTTTGGTAATTAGTATTTCCAGTTATCGTAAGTTGTAGGGATCAACATATTATAGGCTACCTGCACTGTGTCCACCGCGGGAATCGAGCCCTGATTTCTAACGATCAGCATACTTGTGCAATTGTTCCTGTGTTCTACTTTTCGCATCACCTAAAATCTCAGGGCCGATGGATTAAACACCTTACCTTACTCTGTAATAGATTAAACACCTTATCCTACTCTGTAATGATTAATACAATATCTGTTTTCATACATGTTACACATTTTTTCCTTGTGTGTGTGTGTATGAACTGTCTAGAGTTAGGAGCAATTTTTCACTCAATACTCCATATTTTACCCGAAAAAGGGTCGAAGGCCTGTGGGGTACCTGTTTTAGCCACTCGCAACCCTATACAGTAGTGTGTTGTCTGTCAGTCAGTCAGTCGACACTAACATGATGTCACATAAGAGACGCTTTACGTTGCAATTTGTACTGTGCAATTTGTGTCAGTGACACGTGCTTATGCCATGAATCACGAGAAGAATTATGCACTCCTTAGGCTTCAACACATCACATCAAGACATATGAGCTTCAAAAGCAAGAAATAAAAACGTTTGCTACTCTTAATTTTGGTTGTATTTACTCTTGAAACAGAACACTTTAAACGAACCAGCAGAAGTACATCTAGTTTAATATACGTTGACATTTACAGGATACATTCATATTTGAACTGCATTATTCCCCATTTATTTGTCAAAGATGATAGATGCTTTTATAATGTCTAAAGTTTTCAGGTCAGCCTGGTACAAAACTAGACGCGGATGCATTTCAAGTAACGACTATTTCTTTGTTAACTCGATCCACGCGCCCACAAATAATCATTGCCTGCAGACTGTTGTCGCTTAGCAACGATCGGCGTTCACGATTACGTGTTTCTTCCCTCCCATCATACAAGTCATCGCAACTCAAAAATTTGAAAGAGGTCTACTAGGACAGAAATCTTGTAGAGTAATTGTCATAGTAAAGTGAACACATTCAAAGGTATTGGTACTTTAATCTTAGTTGATTGGTTGTTTTAAGCCAAGGCTACACAATAGGTTATCTGCGTTTTGTCCACTACAGGAAATCGAATCACTGATTTTAGCATTCTAAGTCCGTAAAAATTACCACTGACTCCTTGAAGGGCTAACTATTTTAATCAACACGCATACAACAGTAGTAGTAAATTTGATAAGACATCTGTATACCGTTTTCCTCCTCTGACCCTTTAAGCGCCTCCTGAATGATTTCCAAAATAAAAATAAATAAGCCCCCTCTTTATCACCGTTCACTGTCATGATTTTGAAGAAAAAACAAACTGGCTTACTTGATGTAATATTTTCAACTTTTCTATCATTAATTATGTGAAAATGTTTTATGCTGAATTTTTTGCACTTTATTACCGAATAAATATTACCGGATTTAAAGTTATTTTCAGTGAATTTTGCCTCAATACAACACAACTACCTGTTTTTATTACCTCTGTCTGTACCCATCTCGATAAAAATCAACTACCTGTTTTTATTACCTCTGTCTTTACCCATCTCGATACAAAACAACTACCTGTTCTTATTACCTCTGTACCCATCCCGATACATCACATAAATCTGCACTTGTTCAGCATGACGTCATCTAATCAAAGTGTGTAAACTGAAGGCCGCGTTTAGTAGGTGATAGCAGCGACCACTGAGGAAAATATAAAGGTAGGAATTGTTTCCCTATTAGCACCCACCTTTTTCGAAAATTATTTAAACGTCCGGGGGACTTAAAGAGAGGAATACGGTATATATACACACACACACTAAACAGGCAATAACTTGTTGTAGACAACACGTAATCAATGAAGAAAAATTTACATCGTTTTTGAGATGGATTACGTTTGTTTGTTTCTTCCCCATCACAACCGTAACATGTTGGTGAATATTTTTAATATTTTGTAAAACAGTGAAGAATTGGTGAATTAGATTGTCATTCTAGACGAACTTTGGGTCAGTTATCGTTCACACTAGCCCTAACTTGTCACTCTAGAGAAACTTTGGGTCAGTTAGCGCCCATTCTAGCCCTATCTTGTCAATCCACGTAGCTCTGAGTCAGTTACCGTCCACTCTAGCCCTAAATTGTAACTCCAGAAAAACTCTGAGTCCGTTACATACTACTCTAGCATTAATTTATAACTCCAGAGAATCTAGCCCTAACTTGTTACTCCAGATAAACTCCGAGTCAGTTCCTGTCCACTCTATAACCTTAACATGTCACCCTAGAAAAACTTTGAGTCAATTATCATCTCTCTAGCCCTAACGTGTCACTCTAAGGAAACTTTGTGTCAGTTTTCGTCCACTCTATAGCCCTAACTACTTCTCATCATATCCTTCATGAATTAGAAATTCCCGAGTTTGACGCTGTTTATCTGTACAAGTTATTAAAATTTTTATTAAATATTTAGATATTACTTAATTTTTCTTACAAATCTAGAAGCGTATTTGTTATTGACTATTTTTTTTTACTCGAACCACCTACCTATACCATATGGTAAAAATGTTTAATCATGATTGGCAGAAGAGTATGGATGATAGACTTCTCAATTATATAACTTGTCACTCATGTTCATGTTTTATATGCGGTTTTATCGAACATATAGACAATTAATGAGCGTCTCTCTGGCTTAGAGTATTCAGTTAAGTGCCAGTTTTAAGTTGATAAGCTTGTCGATTACAGAATTTAGTCTACCGCTATAGAAAGCAAGGAAGATTTTACCACTTACCATCAGCGTAGTCAGGGGCCACAAAACGGACATAAGGGGTATTGGCGTTGCCCCACGTCGGGTTTTGAACATTGTTACAGTAACCACTAAAAGCTCGATACTTTCTCGGTTGACAGGGGAAGTTAACTTTCAGGGTACAGGAGTTTCCTAGCAACGTCCCGCGAATGTCAGCAGTGGGCAGTCCATAGGTAATCTGGTCCTTACTCAGGCGGTATCTGCAAAATACAGGGAATCATTTCCTGCTTCGATCACTTGAAAACCTTATACAACAGTTGAGTCCATAATGTTAACAAACTTTTACCTAAGTAAAGGTTAATATCTGGAACTCTTTATTCTCATATTAAGCGATGTTGCTAACAAATAGTTAAACTTGCTATATTTATACGACAAATGTAATTTAATTTTTTTATAATGCACAATAAATAATCTAGATACCCTACTAGTTGAACCAACAAAAATTAGGGTTATTACACTGGTATAAATTGAAGGTACTTGTAATATCAAGTTTTACATCGATGTTGCTAAGAGCATATTCACAGGGACGATTCGAGGATCGGTGTTTTAGAGATCCTGGGTGCGGTGTTAGTGTAATAACTCAACAGACATAGGCGGGAATGTACAGCCACATTTTACACTGCTTAATATTTGATAACTTTATAGATTTTTTTTCTATACTTACCATAATAAACGTGGAAATCAACACAAATTATGTAGCTTTTTCTCCTGACTCTCCTAACAAGGTTAACACCAATTTGCAAAGGTGAAATATCATTGTACTTGTTACATATATCACGACTAAGGGCAGTATGTCATCTTTTGTCAGCCTCACGCCAGGGAAGTTCGTGCTAAGAGTGGTTAATGACCATAACCGGTCGAATTCCGTGGTGCATATACCGAGGTTAAAACAAAAATCATACACACTATTTCTTAATCAGCAAAAGAAGTTGAAAAGCCGTCAAAATTTCGAGACCCCTGAACCTCCCAAGTGGCGTCGCTTTGCTGTTGCTGTCCAAAAGGATGCTTACGAGAATATATTAGTACTAAACAATCACTGTTTCTGAGGAAAGCCCCCAGTAGCACAACGGTATGTCTGCGGACTTACAACGTAGAATCCGGGTTTCGATACCCGTGGTTGGCAGAGCACAGATAGTCCATTGTGTAGCTTTGTGCTTAACTTCAAAAAACAAACAATCCTGAGAAAAACAAGTTTTCACAGCATCAACAATGATTCAGAATTAAAATTACACTTACAATGTATGTATTGTATTTGTGTATTCCGTTGTTGGAGTCACTTAGCAGTTCATTGTTGTTGTTTTAAATATTAGGTTCATTCTTTCTCATTTTTGAAGGTTAAAAAGCAGAAGCGAATAAACTTAATGCATTTCGTGGTTTTAATTTCTAATTATATGAGAAAGAAGTATTTATCGTTAACAAGAGTTAACCAACTCTAGTGTACAAATATATAACGCCTCAATAAGAGGAGTATTTACAGCAGTAGGACACACACACAGATACGCTGTCTATCAGATTAGTTAAAGGTTTATTTACAGCAGTAGGACACACACTGGTAAAAGTACACTGTCCATCAGATTAGTTAAAGGTTTATTTACAGCAGTAGGACACACACTGGTAAAGATACGCTGTCCATCAGATTAGTTAGAGGTTTATTTACAGCAGTAGGACACACACTGGTAAAGATACGCTGTCCATCAGATTAGTAAGAAGGGTAATTGCAGCGGTAGGAGTCACAAGATTAGAGGAAAACCATCTAGATTTTAATCTAGTTCTTTATCGCTTGGGAGATAAAAATCATTTGTCTTGCTTTGATTTTAGACAGATATGGTCTCCATCTTAAAACTGAAAATCCCTGTAATAGTACAATAAATAGAAATGTAATATAAACATAATAACTGAAACGTATTTGAAAAGCGTCGCAGCTTTAAGCATTTCTTGTACAATTTAGAATTTGTTGTTTATTTTACAAGTCAAAAATAATGAAAATCTTTCAAAAGTCTGGATTAGTTTACAATCGTACATAAATAACACTAGCTTTTCATGCTAATAAATAAGCGTTACTACATTCTAACTTACAAAAAAGAATTATTACTTTGGAAGCCGAAACAAAAACCAGAAATCTGAAAACATGGCAATAAAGTTAACTGTATGTTGTTCTTATAAAGGTTTAACCGTGGAATTACTAATGGGATCCCCGTATACGTTTTCAACACGTTTTTCTAAACTATTTGTACAATATATTGCTTATGTGACCATGGCATTATCGTTTTACAGGATCTTTACTAACATCTGAGTCACAAGTTTGATTTTTATGTGAGTAATTTGTGTTGGCTCAAAGCTATACAATGGGCTTTCTGAGCTCTTCCCACCGTTGAAAATCAACACCCAGATTTTTGCGTTGAAAGTCTGTAAACTTACTGCTGACCCACCCGGAGGAACATGAGTCACAACGACAACTGTAAGAAAAAATACCATCAATATGGCTATTACTTCCACTAACTACTAATGGGATTCTCCGTTTATTTCACATAGTGTGGTTTCACACAATTGTTTGTTAATTTCTTTACACCGAGTACTGTAACAGGCAAAACATCATCAACATAGAATTACTCACTATCATGCAACATATTGTTGTAAGCTATATTTTTAATATTTTAATTTACATGTTTGGTTGCTAGAAGGACAATGTAATTACATTAGGTAGCAGAAGTAAGGAATCAAAGAATAGATTAGTCCTCTTCGTCTTTTGGTGAAAAAAAAAATCACAAATAAATGGATAACCAGTTAGTCCCCTGAATAATACGATAATTAATTGTGACGGTATGTCACGTGTTATCTAAATACTTATGATATTTTATATTATTCGTGGTATGTAAAGGGCTATGGATTAAGATCAAACGTTATGACCCTGTTGGCTACCAATTTAAAGGGCAATAACGTGTTAATGTAACCGTATACCCGAAAGCTCGGCCACACGTTGAACTAATACTTTATGATCCCGATGGCTTACCATACTCGGTAGAATCTGGAAGATTCTTGTATTACATAGACAACTAGATTGTGTATACATATAAGAATCAGTGAATTATTAAGTTCCGTTCAAGTTGGTGAGTTTAACAGCGAGTCAGTTAGTAAGTAACCAGTGAGTCAGTCAGCGTATTAATTAGAGAGTAAGTTTTGTAAGCTAGAGCTACGTACATTAGTTTCGGAATTTATGTTGAAATGTTGTTTGTGAAGTTAGGTCTACTAGTGAACCTAACCTCTATAAAACGTTATTGAAGAAATAAATTATTTGTCAACCGTTATGTGGATTAGACTACGCATTATTTTCACGAAATAATCCAAAAGAACCCACCCAACGACAGAACATGTTATAAAAATATGAACCCCCATTATTAGTGAACGCTATAAGTATAATACAAGTAGGTCATATGAGTATTTAAACAGTGTGCACGCCCTCTAAGGACAAATATTTACCGTATTGTAATATATACGTAAGTAAAGAGGGTCAAGAACAGGACTTCACAATTTTCAAACAAACGCCAGTTAGTGTCACACCTTAGCCCCAATATCGGGCTAAGTTTACTGTTACAAAGTTTTAGTTTTAATACCAAACATGATTCTGTGATATAGACCTACTTTCAAAATAAGGCCTACTCCTAGATATAAAATGCTTAAAAAAACGGAAAATCTGAAGAGCTATCTCAACGAACAATGTTTTTATCTAAGCCTAATCCGTGATAAAGATACTTTCTAAATCGAAAGACCTGAAACGTCATCTCAATATCAATATTTTATGTAGACGATTTTTAAGTAAATCTAAAAGAAAGATAACTTCTCTGTCCAGTGTTTTATTTAAATTTTATTTACTTCCAGAAACTTAGAAAAATAATATTAGCTTTATCTAAACAATAAATCATAATGGAAATCAAAAAGCACTAAGGCGAGCTCAATCTCATAAACAAACAAAAGAAAAACCATCCGAACGGTGTCCATCCTGGCTAATCTACACAATTGTGTATTTCGTTTGTTTTGTTTATTTGTTTGCTTTTTAGCACAAAGCTGTACAATGAGGTGCTTACGGTTTGCCAACTGTAGGGATCGAACATCGAATGTTAGCTTTATAAATCTTCAAGCTAACAGCTGAGTCACCAGAAGACTTTATGTCTCTTAAAATATAAAATAAAATTAGTTAAAAGGCTGATCAAATAATATGTATGTGTGTGTGTATATATATATATATATAACGTCTGTTATTTGTAGAAAATTAATTGTACATAATGTTCATTAATAAAATTACTTACTTTTGGGCGACTAATTTTGTTGTTTCTTCTGCCATTATGGCCATACGAGAATAATTCTTAGCTGCGACTTTGGTTTTACCCATTGCAGCATAAAACCATGCTGGTGTCCCTGGGTTCTGAATGGCACCTATAAACAAAATTATCATAAAATTACTAGGCATACGTTCAAAGTGTATCACATTTTTGTTTTGTTTTTTAATTCAAACTGTAAGCGCGTTAGAAACTTCTTCTCAACACTTCATAGCTTCAGTTAAAACTCGCACCTTTTTTATTGAAAAAAAAATACTGTTATGAATATAAGAACGTAGCAGTACTTAGGGAACACCATAAAAATACTTCACACTTTCAGATGTATGTAGCACTACCTAATAAAATTGTAAAACTGGTTACTGAATGCTGACAAAGTTTATTATCGAAACTAATGGTCTAAAATTGATAAAGTGTAATAGTTCACCCATAAGGAATCAAATTAGCAACACGTGTGAACATGGTAAAAATGTATATAAGATTGCTTATTGAAATGTTTATGTTGAAAATTTGCTCTTAGCATGGTAAAACACATCAGAATGTTCACTGCAGCTTAAGTTCACAACTTACAAGCTAATGCAATAACAAACTTGGAAAATGTAAAAGTAAAAAACATTGTTTATTAAGAAGAACTTAAGTTCATAATTTCCGAGCTAATGTAGTAACAAATTTGGATAATGTAAAAGTGAAAAACATTGTTTATTAAGAGCTAAAGAGTTGCATTTTCTACTTTTGGAGTCAGTGTAACGGATGTTCTTAACAAAAATTGGAGAATTTTAATGTTTGGTAAGAAATCAGATGTCACTCTATTCATTTGATTTTAAGAAGCAAATATTTTGCTCATAGTAACAATGCTAATAGACAGCAAAGACTTCCAGTTCACGCTTTTAAATTAAATTTATTGTTCTTTGTTCATGAACGTACTGGTTATACCTCACTTGCTGGGCACTGTCATTTTTTAATTATTAATACTGCTTATAAAATCCGCTTTGTCTAATTCTGAGAATATATAGTAACTACAGCTGTAATTTTGTTCATAGTAACAATGCTACTAGATAATAAAGTACTCCAGTTCACACTTTCTAGTTATTAATTTTTAATTATTGATATTGCTTATGAAGAACTTTTTCTATTTCTGACATGATTCAGTAACTACAACTTTCTCAGTACACGTGTTCTTTCTTGTAACCGTACACTTCTAACTTGCCTTGCTTGAAGATCCTGGGTTCCAGGATATCAAAACGCTCGTTGACTGTTTTAACAGCTTCTTCAACAAACTTTGTCATCTCTTCAGGGCTAATCCTCGGCATGGGCACACGAGGGCCATCTGGTATAGGGTCAATTTCTTTAGGTGGTTTCAGGTGTTGGGTGACTCGATTGGCCTGTCTCTTATTGAGGCGCAAGTGTGAGGTGACCCGTGACACAATACGACGTTTGGCTGACCCAAGGATTGGAACATCCACAATTTCCATAGCAACAACAAACCCAAAATAAAGGGCTAGTAGAATTAGAGTCGTGCATGATCGTAGCCTGCAATAAGGACTCACACTTAAAGATATAAAATTATGAAGATGATAATTCAAGTTATTTAGAAAAATATTTAAAGTGTTTAAACAAATAACAACAATTTTAGATAAAGATGCGACATAAAAATTGACACCTGGCGTCAAAATATGATAGTGGCAATTTGACATTTGTTAATACATCTTTAAATAGCCCCGATATACATGAGATTAACCAATCAATACAAGTGTAGCCAGAAATGGCTGGCATACTTTTACCAAGGAATAAACTCGGAGGTTCTGTGTTTTTAGTAGTAAAAAACAGCATGTTTTCTAAATGAACAAGTTACTTAAGGTTATTTATAGTAGAAACAACAATGACAAAAAACTTTTTAAGCTTTCGAAAAATGAACATTTTTTAAATATTTGTATTTATAGCAAAGCTACTAAGATTTTGCTGCCAGTATCGCTAATTTTGAAATGCTGACCAGATGGAAGGCAAGGCAGTCAACAGCAGCCTACCACCCACGTTAAGGAATTGATTGTCACTCTTATAACGCACCCACAACTTAAAGTAGGAAGAATATTTTGTGGCATCGTACGGATTCTATTAAAGAGAGCATATTTCGTTTTGAGAATTCATGCTTAATGAATCATCACATCCTGAATGAGGAGAATCTGTAGAAGAAGAAGAAGTCAAATACAGCAGCAGACGACTCAATATTTGAAATAAAAACGTTCGACAAATACTCTAGAGGTTAATTCAGTGTTTTAAATTAAAAACTTGCAAAAAGGACAACAATAAATTTAGCGGATAAAGTGTTTCGAATAGGAAATTGCAAAAAGGGCAACAATGAGCCTACAGGATAAGTCAGTGTTTTGGATGAAAAGAAATCTAGGGAATAAGTCACTGTTTTGGACGAAAAGGAATCTAGGAGATAAGTCATTGTTTTGGACGAAAAACTTGCAAAATGGGCGAAAAAGAATTTAGTAGCTAAAGTGCATTGGAAGAAGAACTTGATAAAAAGGTACTATAGCTTTTAAGCCAGTGTTTTTAAAGAAAACTTGCAAAAAAAAAAAAAGACGACAAAGAATTTTGTGGGCAGAAGAGGTGACAGGGAAGCTATAAAGTAACTAATATTTTTGGAACAGCCAATTTAATTGTCATTCGCTTTGTGTGTGTGTGTGTTATCAATCTAATTATTTGAATAAATTACAATATATTTATACCTTAATACGTGTGGTAATTCAGCAACTATAAAAAACAAAAAGTAAATATAGGATCACATTCTAAAAATTATTAGGAGTTTAGAGCATTGCCTCCATATGTTAGCTTAGCTAACCCTACCCCTACCATTCCTAGACGAATTATTTTTCAGCGGACATGACTAAACTTTGCTTTTTTTATGAAAATAGTTTCAATAAATTGAATGCCAGTAGCCGATACTGACATTATAAGCAATAACAAACGAAAATCACAGACTTTCAATAATTTAGTAATGTCAAAGTTAACGAATCTGCGTCAATACCATTGCAATAATTTATCAAAAGCAAAAAAAAAGAAATAATATTTGTCGGTTTCTAATGGATTGTTATATCAGTATTACGTGGAAGAGAAGTAATAAAAATTCTGTACAGAATAGCTTTTCTACGAAAAGTTATATAAAAGCCAGAAAAAAAAACAATGTCATACATACATATATACAAGGAAACAAACAATTTGCTGAAGGAAATGATTAATAAAAATGAAACAATATAAAAATTACTTTTAAAATATTCACAAAAACTATTTATTACTGTTAATTTAAAAGAAAGAAATAAAACTACACATTTATAAATACATATACACAAACGTGTAAAAGTATTCTGTATAGAAGAGCTGAATTGCTCATCATAATGAGCTTTGTGCAATCTGCGTCCCATTTCATGCAAGACTTGAAAATCCTGTACTTAAATTGATACAAAAAAAAGTTTAGAATTTGATCCAAGGTCTTTACAAATGTTAGGTTAAATCCTTGACTCGGGTCTACAAATAAAGCAAGAATTTCAGAACGTACATGTTGTAAGTCAGGTACATAAATAATGAAAGATTCGTTACTTGCTCCATGCACAAACACATATTACATTTATTGCAAAACTACGGGCCGGTGGCTCATGGCTCAGCAAGCTGAAATTCTTGATTCAATCTCAGCGGTAGTCATAGCATTGATAGCCCATTGTGCCACTTTGGGTTTAAAAAAAAAACAAATCAAACTATTAACTTCCGGGTAAAACTTAAAAACAATTCCTCAATATTTTAAACAACAACTTTTACTTTGTTTAACCGTTACTGAATGAAAAGATGCTGTGATCTTTGCTCCATACTGTGTGATGAGGAAAGTATGTGTGCAAGACAGAATGTTGAAGTTGAAGCACCTACATTCATATCATTTTTCTAGGAACTTCAGTGTCAGTAATTGTTTAACTTTATAAACAAGCTTTTCAAGGATAGGATGCAAGCGGTAAACATATTTCATGTAAAAACTCACCTATACTTAAATAAAACTTTGACGTTTCCGAACGAGATGCGAAATTACAAAGGAAATCAACAAACCATTCATCTAACAGCTAAACAATAAGATTGCAAATACACGAGAATAATTCACACGTATGTGGCTTCAAACTTACAAGGTTTGTCCTTCTCAAATAGTTTACATACTTTTATACAAAAAAGAACATTCTACACGTTCCCCGATAGGTCAGCGATAAGATTATGGAATTATAAATCCAAAATCCTGGGTTTGATTCCCTGCGATAGACCGAATTATTTAGTTTTGCGCCAAAAAACAACAACAGCATCCTAGAACTGTTAATTTTTATTCACAGTAAGCAGCGATAATCTTAGATCGTTCTTAAAATTATTCTTGGACATTTGTATAAAATCATAAAAACAGTTAAAAACAACTCTAATTTAAGAGTAATCTACAGTCTCAAATATACACTCTACATATATCGATGCTTTAATACAACACCTTTACGACTAGTAGTATGTCCCAATAATATTACGCTATTTGTATCTTCTGTAAAATAATGTGATATTTTAATCTACATGTTTTTTTTTCAGAATATCACGCCATCTACTTACGTTCTGTCTCCTTAATCCTTCATCCTTATCTTAATAGGTTATTATTTTTCTTATATTTAATTAACTCCAATGATTCAATATTCCTTATACTGTCACTTTTAAATTGAGCTAATAAAATAATTTTATGCCACTAGATCGTACGTTGTGTTGTACTAACATGTTCGGCTTATGGTGAAATATCTATTTTCTTATTTTAAACGTTTCGTTTGTGATCATTCACTTATATTTTAAGTTCCTTTTATTCTGGCCGATGATAACAACATTGAAAATTATTACAAGAAAGTCCTGACGAAACAGTTAAGAATTATCTTACTATTAAATTTCATGAGTCAACAAAAGATAAAAATAAACACTGTTTATCTTTAACACCAGAAGAAAAGAAAGAGTTAATGACCATAAGTTATTAACTCCAAGATTTTATGTACTTCCTTTTGTTCAAAAAATCAGTGGTAGCTATATATATAGTATCCAACTAAGATACATAAACATATAAGATAGCTAATTTTGCTCTAAACAATTTGCATTTTTAAGAGAACAAATGAAACGATATAGAATTTGTGGAAAATAATAAATAAAGAAATTAAAGTGATTTCCTTGTTTTACTTGATGTAGTTTCTGTATTCATTTCAGTTTCAATCCAGAGGGCTACCTAGCAGCATGTCTGTGGACGTATGCTGCTAGAAACCGGATTTCGATACCCGTGGTGGGCAGAGTACAGATAGCCCTTTGTGTACCTTTGTGCTTAATAACAAACAACAACCAATCAAAAGTTCCACTGATTGTTGAAAAATAATTAATCTGGTAAAAAAATGCGTAGAATTATTTTAAGGTTAATAATAATTATTACAGAAAGAATAAGGGTTGACTATGGATCCTCTATGTCATCGTTATTATGCAATTTGTATATAAATGTATTTGAAAGTGAAGCTTTAAAAAGGTTTAATTTGACAACAGAAATTTGAATTAGATTTGTCGATGACATCTCTGTGAGAGGGCAACATGGTAAACAAAGCTTTAACAAAGTTTGCTAATTATCTAAATAGTTTAGAGGCTTCCATTAAATTTACTAATGAAGTAGAATAAACTGAAAGTTGCCTTTTTTGTAGACGTATTAATTAAAAAATAGACAAAAGCAAGGGACTACAATTTACCGTAAACTTTTCTAGATCAAGCTACCACATCAACAATCAAAGGCTAAAAAATTATCAGTTCTCTGAATTTTATATATATGTAACTATCAAATTGTGTTCCAAACAATAATTAAATTATTATATACTATTGTTGAAACATATAGCAGTTAACAGAAGTTTTCTAACCAGATATCATTTACCATTGATAGAACAATTATGAAGTTTATGAAACAGACGTGTGATGATAGCAATTGGAAAATGTGTCTTAAAAACTAAAAAATAAGGTTTAATTTTGTCTTATGTACCTGGTTTATCTTGTAAAGTTTAATATATTTGAAAACAATATATATGTTTCATCTTATACGTTAACCCATAAATAAGGTTAATAAATTATTAAATATAACTGAGGTTAAAGTGAATATACTGCGAAAAACAGGTTTATACAAAAGAAATGGTAAATATGACATCACATACATAGGTCAGAATAAAAGGAATTTAAAATATAATTGAATGAACAGCTGAACCTAAAAAGGACAATATCAGAAATATTCGTGAATAATTGGAAATAATTAAATATAATAAAAATAACAAGGTATTAAATAAAGATGAAGATGGCGTGATATTCTGTAAAAACATGTAGATTAAGATATCACGTGATTGAGCAGAAGATTTAAATGATATTATGTTCTTCTGAAGATGGAGTATCTGCTGTATCTACAGCAGGAATTGAACCCCGGATTTCAGCGTTGTAAGTCTGTAAACATACTGTTGTTC